CTGAAAATTATGACTTCCCGGGATCAGGAGCCAACTACCAGGACTGTATTTTTCATTTATTTTTTCTGTAGTTGGTCCAAAAAGAGAATGATAGCCAGATCCAGGAAAATGTTCTCATGTCTGTGAGATGGGATACTGACTCTGGAACAAAACTATGTCAAATGCTCACTTCACTCAGAGGAAAGACTTCAAAGACTGCCTGACTAAAGTCATGAAATTGCAGAGTTCCAGCATTATTATTTAATAGGAAAATATATTAAAAAATCTTCATGACACTAGTCCCTAAAAAATGCAGGATGATGTGTGTGACACATTTTTTAAGGAGAGGGCTGGCTTTATTAAACTATAGTGTATACTGTACAGACTGGCATTTATCTTGTATTGTTTATATAAGCTATCATTTAATACATGTGTAGGAACTGCAGATGCGGTGCCGCTGCTTAGAGTGTCAGGATGAATGTGACAAGGGAGTTGAATGATTAAGTTATTTATTACAGGTACTTATTCAGCACAGTCAATTTATGCAGTGCTTTACATGACTCCTACCACAGCGAAGGTCCCTTTGCAGGATGCATAAATGCAACCACTCAGCACCATACACATGCCACGGGTGCAATGCTGTGTTTCCTGACTCTGGAAAAAATCTTGCATTCGGTGGAATGGACCTGTACAATGCAATGCACATAATTTCAGTGCAGTGGTACAGCATTTACAGGGTTAAATTAGGTGGTGGGTTGGTGACATGCTGCTTCTTAACTGCCTGTCAAACAACTTTAAAAAGTGATCCCCTGCGTATCGCTTTTCAGAGGGGCGGCAAGGGCTGCTGCATGTGTGAACGAACCCTTAAGACACATGAGGATTTAATTGTTTTAAAAATAGCATAGGGAACATAATTGAATTGCAGACATTCTTTGCTGAACAGTTTCATTCATTTAAAAAAAAGTGATCCACTTCTTATCGCTTTTCAGAGTGGCGGCAAGGCTGGCAAGAACCCATAAGGCATGAGGATTGCATATGAATTGTAGACATTGAACCATTCATTTAAAAAAAGCGATCCACTGATTGGATTTCAATTGCTTCATATGAAAAATAAGACACAGGATTTAATTGTTCTAAAAATAGCACAAGGGACATAATTGAATTGTAGACATTCTTTGCTGAACGGTTTCATTCATTTAAAAAAAAGTGATCCACTGTTTATTGCTTTTCAGAGGGGCGGCAAGGGCTGCTGCATGTGTGAACGAACCCTTAAGACATGAGGATTTATTTGTTTTAAAAATAGCATAGAGGACATAATTAAATTATAGACATTCTTTGCTGAACAGTTTCATTCATTTATGTTGTACTCTTTTTGGTTCAATGATCGCTTAACACTGAGGAAACAGGAACTCGTTATATTTTACAGATCTGAATCTTTCTAAAGTGCTGTCACATGGCAGATTTGCCCCAGTGCATGAGTGTAAAAACATGCCACTCTCTAAATCCTGTGTTCCAGCACTGATATCTCTTGCTGTATCTGGCCAATCACTAAAATTACAGTTTCTTACATTGAACAGAAGCCGAGTCTCTGCAAGTTGCTGTGACTGTTAAATGAAAGTATAAAATCCCACGGTTGTAGGCTATGAAGACAGTGGAGCCTAATCTGTTTTATTTTCACTAAGTGCTCATATCCCCGGATATGTAACTAAAGCCAAGTCTATGACAGGAAGGATAAACTATCAGCAGCTAACAGGAAAAAAAAGTTCAACTTGGCACCGGCAGCTTGAAGTAAAGCCTTTCCCCTTGATGTCTCTTTAAAAGTCACCCACTAATTATCATCTTATTCTTTCAATAAAATACCAAATGGCCAGTGGAAGTGGATATCAATTTAAAGAGGCACTGTAGACCAGTTACATATTTGGGTTTTCACACAGAACCACGATTTCCTTTTTTGCTGCGATGTATTTGGCATAATATATTTAGAACAGAATTCTGAACTGCATCATTTTTGTTTAATTCTAAACAGCATATTGGATGATTAGATCAGGCATCCTGTGAAATGACCACACTCCCAATAGTGCTTGGCAAGTGTCACTAGTGTGACCACATTATTCATGAATGATATACAATGACAGAAAACAGAAGAGTATTACATAAAGGCAATCACAACCACAGCCACCAGAAGCTGTAAAGGTGATCTCAAATTCCTCTATACTTATTTAAAAGAAAAAATAAAAATAATGCACAGTATCAGGTAGAGGTAGGTTAGGCATCCATTTTCGTCACTATGCTGCAGGAGGGTGCAGGTAATGAAGGAGTTCATCTTGCCTCTACTTCTTCCAGCCATATTGTACACCAGCTTTTCTCAATCAGGGTGCCCAGGCACCCTGGGGTGCTTGAGGTTTCTGCAGGGGTGCATTGGCAAAATGTCTAAAAATTGCCCAAAACTTATATTCACAAGCCAGTGGTGGATCAATCCTGCCTTTTAGTTACACAAAGCCACAGGTTGTCATTGTGCACCATTACGACCTTCCAGCCGTCGGCATCTTGACAACCAATGACATCATCAGTTGATAAGGAGGATGTCACCTGCCTGCACAGCATCCTCGTTTGACCCTCCCCCGCCCCTCTTCATCAGTGCCAGGGTCACATTAGCCCAGTGATGGAGAAAAACTGAGGGAGAGGAGAAACACTGGAATACTAGTCAGTACCAGTGTGCAAAGGTGTATTTGCTTTGGAAGAATAAATCCCCTCTAATGTTGGGTGTCCCACATGTGTGGATGTTGCTGCAATATATAACATTTTTAGAATAGTTTTTTACATTTTAAAATAGGGTGCCCTTTAAAAATGATGGACAATCTTGAGGCACCCCAATTTAGAATGCGGTACCTCAAGACTGTCCATAATTTTAAAGGGTGCCTCAGGACTGTCCTTAATTTTAAAGGGTGCATCAGGACTGTCCATAATTTTAAAGGGTGCCTTGACTGAAGAAAAGGTTGAGAAACATTGTTCTACACTGTGAAAATGTAGACGTCAAATTGATAGCTCATTCCTACAGATCACAGGAGATCCTGGTGATCATGACACTCCCTGTGTAATCAGCAGCACTCTGCTGTCAATGTGACAGCTGCCAGTTTTATATCATTAGCTCTGATGATTACATAGAAAGAGCCATATGCTCATTGTCTCAACCACAGGACTGAGCTATCGATTTGAAAGCTCAGATCCTGCTCTGAATTCACAGCTGCTCTTGTATATTTTACTCATGAATATGTAGCACCCTCCTAGTTAGCTAGGGGGAGGTAGACTCCAATTATTAGACAGAGGCTGAGTAGCAGCCTGTGTATGATAGCCAGGTGGGTCAAATGCGGGTCAGAGCTGAGGGGCTCTGCAGACTAGCCCTGTGGAATTTCCCCCTGCTCTAGGACTTTGGGGAAAGATCTAGAAACAGTGGGTGATCTGAAGAGTGACTGGTCTGTATTCTTTGAGGATCCTGGCCAATCCCCAACAGGAGGCTTGGCAAGGGACCAGGATAGCCTTTAAGAACAACTGAGCCTGCTCAGCAGCAGGAGAGTTGGAGGAGAGTTCGGTTTGAAGAGGAGGATATGAGGCTGGAGAAAGGAGCCTGGGAGGGAGACCAGATGGGAGACGGGCTCACATCCAGGCAAGAGGACCTTGGAGGAGGAAAGCTTGGAACATCACCGGCGCCTGAAAGAAGACCACTTGTACGGCAGGGAAGGAGCGGCCCAGCTAAAAGGCCTGGTAGCAACCACCGACCCACCAACAACACAGGAGAAGGACTAAGTGAGTAAACCTGCACCCCCTGGGCCACATAGGGGAAGGAGCACTCTGATGTGACTGTCTTCTTTGAAAGTGACAGGCACTGGATCCCCTGCTCATGGATTACCTTTAGAACAGTTGGATTAGGAGAATCTGGGGTCTGGGGTGGTACATTAGGAGACGCTGGCTAGCTCTCCAAGAAGAGGATTTTTATGTAAAGACTTGTACATAGTTCAGGAAGATTGTTCTTAGTTACAGTTCCATTGAGCATCCCATACACCCTTACCCTATCCAAGTTACAAATCTCTAATAAAATCACAAAAACAAAGCTCAAGACTGGTTATTGTCTCCTGGATGCAAGTCTATGTGAAGATACATGTTGACTGGCTGTGCAGGACTATAGGGGGACCCAAAACTTCAGTGACTCCTAAGGGGTAGTGCTACAAATATAATCATCATGTATAAATACATAAGTGGTCCATATAGTGAACTCGGTGCAAAGTTATTTACCTTAAGGTCATCACAGAGGACAAGGGGGCACTCTTTACGTCTGGAGGAAAAGATATTTAACCTTAAAATACAGAAAGGCTTCTACACAGTAAGAGCTGTGAAAATGTGGAATAGACTCCCTCAACAGTTAATTCTGGCCAGCTCAGTAGATCGTTATAAAAAAAGGCCTGGATTCTTTCCTAGATACACAAAATATAACTGGATACTAATATTTATAGGTAAAGTTGATCCAAGGTATATCTGATTGCCCCTTGAGGAGATCAGGAGTGATTCCCCCCCCCCCCCCGCTGGAGAAAACTGGATTATCATTTTTTGGGGGTTTCGCCTTCCTCTGGATCAGGGGTCTCCAAATTTGTTAAACAAAAGGACAGTTTACTTTCCTTCAAACCTTAGGAGGGCCAGTGGCCCACTAAGGCCAGTTGGAGTAGAAAATGCCTTGGGCTTGGTGATCAGTGGTTAAAAAAAAACTACATAGTGCCTGTGGTCAGTAGGAGGAGGACTAGTGCCCCATTGTTGGTATCAGTGGAAGGAATAGAGCCCCACCATTGGAGTCAGTGGTAGGAAAAGTGCCCCATCATTAGTATTAGTAATAGCAAAAATAACTGTCACACAACAAAAAAAACCATACATTTATATCCAGCTGTGAAAGAGGGAGGGGAAGGAGGCAAGGCAACATTGCATTTACCCAAGGGTGTAGGCCAAATTTAACTTTAATTTTTATTAACTATTTCTTCCCCCTCCCTTAGTTATGTGGTGCTGAATTAAATAGCTTGAATGCACAGTTTGATATCCTCGCCGTGGAGGTAGGAGGACATTGTCCCAGTATTGATATTATACAAGGGCGGATTGACAGCTCATGGGGCCCCCGGGCAATAGGGGATTATGGGGCCCCTGTGTACTTGCCCACACCCAAAAAAGCCTATGAAAAAAGCTAAGGAAAGGTACCAGGGGCATCTCATGGGGCCCCCTACTGACCCCGGGCCCTCGGGCAGTGCCTGAGTGCTCGAATGGTCAGTCCACTCCTGATATTATATATATATATATATATATATATGTACCGGTGTATATATATATATATATATATATATATATATATATACTGTATATATAGTGTAACTTACCGGTCCTCAGACATATCTCCATACAGGGGCATTGCTTTGTCATTCATAAAGGATAGCTGAAAAATCTGATAACAGTAAAAATTTAGTTCAGCCCCTGGACCTTTAGAAAAGCAATAATGGCCTCTACAGCCCAGTTTTCCCCACTGATCCAAACAGGGCAGTGTATATTGACCATGTGGTCAAATATGCACGCCTGCACATTCTTATAATATTCCTATAATATGTAAACACCCAAAAAAGACAGTAGACCCAGTATATCTGCCTGTCCACAATCAGTTATAGCCACCATGGTGCTTACTTTCCTGCTGGCTGGTGTGTATGCTTTGTATGATTTATACACGTAGAAGTGTACATTTCAGAAGCACTGTGAATGTAGTATTATTTAAACACATAATTCCCAGACCTCCTATGCATCTTCCATGGTGGAGTAAGAGGAAGGAAACTTCATACTGTTCTTACGTTAAGCACATAAGTTTTATCATTTGTTTCCCATGGTTTTAAGAAATGATTATACTGTTTCAGTCCTGTCAAGCTGTCTTAGTGTTTGGCAGGGTTGTTTTGTAGATAAATAATGTGCTAAATCCTTTGCTGTGAGCTAGTAAGCATATAGTGATAGAGTGGCAGAAAGCCTAAATGTGTCTTTCAGGAATTGATAAGGGGACTTCAAATTGTTGTCTTTGTGTATCAAATATTCTTTTGGTGGATTTTACAGTCTCCTCTTGAAGCTTCCTTTATTGAATACATTTTATAAAATGCATTAAAGAGACCATGTCACCACATTTCAACATTTCCCGGAGTGCCTGAGCCCCAACCTACTGGGCCACTCACAGCCACTCGCCACCCTGCCCCTACATCATTAATTTCAAATGATTAGAAGGAAAAGTTGCTGGATAGTAAAACCCCCCAGACAGTATGCTGTGGCTTTCACTCCTAATCATTTGAGACTTTTCTGCTAGTAGGAGTAAAGCTAGTCAAACACTGATCAAAGCTCGGTCGGTCCAACAGGGACCAGCCAAATTTGAATTAGGGTGTAGGCTTCACCTCTCAACAGAAGTTGCTTTTTTTTTTTTTAATCGACTTCTGTTGAATGTACTTGTTAGGAAATTTTCTGGTTATCAGCAGCTGTAGCATTGTATGCTGATGTCAGACTACAATGTCCCAGAGGGAGGGATTCCTACATCCACCTCATTAGTTACTGGCCTAGATGAAAAAAATAACCATGTATTAAAAATGATAGAGGGAGGGATTCCTCCATCCACCTCATTAGTTACTGGCCTAGGTGAAAAAAATAACCATGTATAGCCAGCTTAAAGTGGACCGTTCCCCCCTTTCACTAAAAATCATACCACCATACAGCTCTGCATGCTGATATGAACTCATTCATTGGTTAAACAAACATGTTTTGAATGTATGAATAATGACTGTTTTTCCAATTACTGTTTTCTTAAAGTGGTTGTAAACCTCAGACATGAAATATGAACAAAATATAATCCTCTATAGTGTGTACTTGTCCCATTCCAGAGCAGTGTCATTTCTGTCCGCTGCCTCCTTCCTCTGCTATCAGCATGAGTCACTTCTGACAAGTTTTCCTGACACCAAGAGAACAAAGGTGACAGGGGAGGGAGCTCTAGCAGATTGAGAGCCTGTGCTCTGTTTTTCATGGAAATTGGCACACTTTACTAAAATGTGTAGGTTTATGGAAATATAATAAATAAATCCATGTCAAAACATGGGCACACAGATGATGGTACAGTAGGAAAAGGAAAAGTTAACACGTTTCATGCTCCATAACGCTTATTCATAACCAAGTTACAGCCATAAAATTGTTGCTTATATAGATCCTCTTAAAGCCTCAGGTGTGGGAACCGCCCCCCCCCCCCCCCCACCCCTCACCAATTAACCCCAACAAAGGAAAACACAACAGGCAATGTGAGCAGAACCCACACCTGATGTAAACTTGAGTGCCCTATTGACATCAAAGACAACAAACAAAAAGTAATAAAGATAAAAAATAAAAATTTTAAATAATAGTGCAGCACTCAAAAATATAGATAAACAAACATAATGGTAGTTACAAAATTACCATTAATAAACAATAAATGAAAAATAAAGGAGATTTTTTCGTGTGGAGCTCTGGGTGTGAGAGTTTGCTTTCCTGGTCCTTACTGACTCTGGTTTATTTTTATACCTTTAGCTGTTCCTTCCCTTCCACTCCTCTCCCTCCCCCTCTGCTTTTCCCTTATGTACCCCCCCCCCCCCCCATTTAGCTTAGAAATACCTCACTTGCAGTTTTTGTTGCTGTTGTTATATTTATTAATCCTGTGTTTAGTCCATATGCCCTAATTGGGCTGTACTGGCTACTTGGGCACCTTTTCTGACCCCTATATTTTTTATTTCATATTCAATAAGGTTGGATTTTTAAGTTAGGGCTCATCTCTGTAGGTTAATCACCTCGGAAAAACTTATCATTACGCCTCCCCTGTTATACTTTCAAATGACTGAAATGAAACCTCTTGTATCTTGGGTCCTCCTATTCATTGAATTTATTTATTATTATTTACTACAGGTACTTTTATAGCACCGTCAATTAACGCAGCACTTTACATACTGTATATATTGTACATTCACATCAGTCCCTAACCCAGTTGACCTCATAGTTCTGATGCTGTTTATGATACCTGCATACCTTAGTAATTGTACCATGCAATATCGTTGACTTGGGTTCTGTAATGCAACCTATGGATAAATAAAGGAATTACAAAAAAAAACATCTTCATAAATGAGGACACTCCACCCATGCCTCCAACTGCCATGTTTTGCCCATTTTGGGACTTAATTGTTCGCTCTACAATTAAGTCCCAGTAGATGGCAATACATATCAGAGGGAGGCATGGATGAAGTGTCTTTATTTTTGTAGGATCAATATTGTTTTGCGGTTTTTTTTTAGCTATTCGGACTAACAGTGTGCATTTTCTATCACCTTTTTTTTGTTATGAAGATTTGCATAGATATATTATTTACCAAACAAAAGATGTTTGAAAATGAAGGAATAGAGCAAGATACTTCCAATGCCTTAAAATATTGATTCATGAAAACCTGAAGAAAAATGTTTTTGTCAGAGCTGGAATTACCAATGCTAAACAAGGTTTCTGGAGACACAAGGAGCTGATGAGGAACAATCTTCCTCTAAGCACAAAGAAAAGATTGCTACAAAAGTAAGGCTGGTCTGTTCTCAAATATAGTGCAGAAATGTTTTTTCTCACTATGTCTTTTAAAAAAGATCAAAAGTTTTGAGCTGGGGTGCTACAGGAGGATCATGAAAATCGGCATGATAGACATGGACTCCAATAAAGAGCTGCTGCAAGAGTCAATGAAGCCAAACCATGTCTACAGGAGAGAACATTGAAGAAAAATGCCAATTGCCCATTGAAAGGGATTTGTGCTTCTAATGACCACTGGTAGGTTTCGGCCCCCCCATTGAGCTCAAGAGACTGTTCTCTGTAAGAAAGAAATCCACACACACCAGCTTCCAAAGAACAATCTAAATCTTATTTCATTATACTCCCTTTATATTGTATCACAGAATGGAATTTTACTGGATACTTGTCAAGGCTGTGTATGTGAACAATTTAGATTTTCCCATGGAGCAAAAGTGGTTAACTTTTAACTGGATCATAGTAGAAGCAGGTGGTGTTAGTCCCATCACTCTGGTACAAGTTGATATTGGTCTCATCTGTCCATAGGATGTTGTTCCAGAACTGTGAAGGCTTTTTTAGATGTCGTTTGGCAAACTCTAATCTGGCCTTCCTGTTTTTGAGGCTCACCAATGGTTTACATCTTGTGGTGAACCCTCTGTATTCACTCTGGTGAAGTCTTCTCTTGATTGTTGACTTTGACACACATACACCTACCTCCTGGAGAGTGTTCTTGATCTGGCCAACTGTTGTGAAGGGTGTTTTCTTCACCAGGGATAGAATTCTTCGGTCATCCACCACAGTTGTTTTCCGTGGTCTTCCGGGTCTTTTGGTGTTGCTGAGCTCACCGGTACATTCCTTCTTTTTAAGAATGTTCCAAACAGTCGTTTTTGCTATCGCTCTGATGGGTTTGTTTTGTTTTTTCAGCCTAATGATGGCTTGCTTCACTGATAGTGACAGCTCTTTGGATCTCATCTTAAGAGTTGACAGCAACAGATTCCAAATGCAAATAGCACACTTGAAATGAACTCTGGACCTTTTATCTGCTCATTGTAATTGGGATAATGAGGGAATAACACACACCTGGCCATGGAACAGCTGAGAAGCCAATTGTCCCATTACTTTTGGTCCCTTAACAAGTGGGAGGCACATATGCAAACTGTTGTAATTCCTACACCGTTCACCTGATTTGGATGTAAATACCCTCAAATTAAAGCTGACAGTCTGCAGTTAAAGCGCATCTTGTTTGTTTAATTTCAAATCCATTGTGGTGGTGTATAGAGCCAAAAATGTTAGAATTGTGTCAATGTCCCAATATTTATGGACCTGACTGTAGTGTCCCGGCTTTGAACTAAGGACCCCATGTAATAGTAATTCATGTCTGAAATGAATTCTCCATCTTGTCTTTTTTGTCTGGATAACAAGGCCAGGATCTTGTATTCTAGCAATATATAGATCTAATGTTTTCTTTAAAATAATAGGAACAAT